TATATATATATTGATAGACTCTTGATTTATTATTATATACTATAGGATTGTATATAGACCCTATACTATATATTAGATTAATATAATACACATATATTCTAATTATAGTCAACAGGAAGCATATGAGCATTATAGGTCGTAATTACCTATTATATATGTGTGTGTGTGTGTGTGTGTGTGTGTGTGTGTGTGTGCGTGCGTGCGTGCGTGCGTGCGTGCGTGCGTGCGTGTATACCAATCGGGTTTACTGAACAAATTCATTATTAGATGTCGACCGATATTCATGAATTATACCAAGACCGACGACAATGTCAACGAATTATCTGATTAATCAGCGATAATGCTGTCTTGTTTTGCTGAGGAGGTGCCAACTTATACCCCCCCCCCCCTGTACAGACTGTCAAATTTGATCCTACATCAAACAATTCCGGGCTAGGACCGGGCCATACTTAGTTAAACTTAGTTCGGACTAGTGCCTATTTAGCCCGAGATAGCGTACGTATACACACTAGGAACATTTATTACGGGCTTGGGCCGGACTAGTTTGGTGTAGGATTTAATTATTATTTTGTAAACTGTACGAGATATAATATAATACGAGACAGCCAGTCACAAAAAAGTGATGTAATTAGATATTGCTATCATCAGGAATAACATATATAATTATATGTTACACGCACTCATGCACGCTCGCACACTCGCTCACATGCACGCGCGCATGCACGCGCGCACGCATACGCACGCGCGCACACACGCACGCACGCGCACATGAGTATTCATCATCAACTAAGTAACGGTGTAAACATACGTCAATGATTTGCACACTTGCAATTTGCAAACAGCTTGGCTGGGGCATCAAGAGAGCGCAACCACCAAGGCAAGAATTGCCAATCTCTCAATACTAGTGGCAACCATGAGGGCTTCTTCGATTGTAAAATATTTACGATGATGACAAAGAGAATGAGTGCAAGTATTGGACATCCAACTCCGACTAGCACTTTCCAGCCTGCCAGTGAAAGAGCGAATATTGTACCAGGAAGAATTAAAAAGGTTAGAAACGTGTACACAACGGCAACCCACCGATGTTTGGCCGTATAGTTTCCAAGACACTTGGCCATCGCAATCGGAATTTGGCGCATGAAAGGTATGGGATAAAAAATGAGAATCCCGCTGATGTTGAAAAATAAATGCGCAAGCGCAACTTGTATGGTGTCAGCCAGCTTATCAGAGCTTGCGGTTAACGATGCTAAAAGTGCAGTCGTTGTTGTGCCAATGTTTGCTCCTAAGGTCAGCGCGTACATTCGCTCAATGGTTAGCACTCCAATGCCAACTAGCGGTGTGAGAGCCGAAGTAAAGACGGAACTGCTTTGAACCAAGACAGTGAAGCCGGCACCCACAAGCATGGCGATGTAACCAGTAAAATAGCTCATGCAACCCGGGAAGTCGGCGTTGATGAATTTCCTCAGCATACCGGCAACTTGTCCTCGAAAGATTGAGTTCAGCAGCTTGACGATGAAGATGAGACAAATACACAGAGAAACGAGTGACACTACTAAAAGGATAGCTCCAACGAGTGAGTCCGACCAGGAAACCAGCGCGAAGAGTGTGTGACCTTAAGAGAAAAGGAATAAAATTATGAAATTGTGATATCGCTACTATAACTAGTCTATTATGATTTTCGCGTTTTAAAAACATTTGACGGACAGGTTTTATCACAAAGCGGAAATATGACGACTTGCATAAATTATATTATGGCGATTATCATATGATTAAGTTGTAACAGTGAGAAATAGTCTCTGCAAAAGAAAGCATGAGCTATACGCCAAATATAACTTACACTTCTCCACTCCTACTTTCTCGATCTCTGTGACGTTGTATAGATGGGTTTCATTTTGGATCTCCCGTGTGATTTCCTTGTTGGCAAACTTACACCAGCGTTTGTTAAGAGAGGCACTGTCAGGTAAATCCTGTCCTTTCGCAATCGAATACATGATACTTTTGTCAATCTGCAAAACGAAAAAAATCTATTACTACAATGGTCGCCATCTTTATCTTTTACCACGTGAAGAGATAGTACACGGATATGAATACAAGCGCATTGCCACGTAACCAATGAGCTATCGGATCCACCACGCTGTAATTTATGCAGTACGCGTAGTGGATAATTATATATTAATTACTTGCTTTTACGACGAGACTCGTGAATGGCTTTGTAATAGTTTTGAGTAGCTCCTTATCGAAGTCTTCCCGAGTTGTGTTTCTGGCCGTCATTTCAGTTACGATGAGGCTTGTCACCCGGTAAAGATAATCTGAAAACAATTTGGTATTAATTCACTCGCCTCATAACTTCATTTCCATTACGCTGTGGTGCAATGTTATGACGTAAGCGCGAAAGGTTACTTTCAAAAACGTAATGTAACCTATTACGGTACTTTTATTCGTGCGTTTAATCAACATGAAACGCTCTCCGAACAAAACTGTAGGCCCTATCCGCGGTATGCCGCGTTACACTTTAAAACAGTGCTGAGTGCGTGTGCGTATGGTAATGCTTGAACGTGCGTCCCTATATATTATTAGAACCATCACTGCCACAACCAATTTTTAAACACGCTCAAAATATTATCAAAACACAATCAAATAAGAATAACTTTCAGCCAATCAGTACTTTTAAATCACATTGATGATTTTTATCGCATGGGATTAATGCGTATTATTTCTAAATTATAGACCAATAGGAAATGTTTCGAATATATCCGCTTAAACATTGGTCAATTTCTCATGTTTTGCACAAGTGGTAGAGCGTAAAAGCATGTGGTGGCGGTAGTACGGAATATTTAATGTAGGTATATGCGTACAGTGTATTTATATATCCCATCCTATAATTGGTGATTATTGCGATTTTGCGGTGTTGTAATTGAATCACGATTATAATGGCCAAGTTATGGTACTGATGGCATCCTATACTAAAGGTAAGTATAAAGGTAAGGTACTAAAAGTATAAAATACTATACGTTAGTATGTGCATGTGCGCCTGCATGGTTTGTTCGTGTCTGTGTGTATAGACGTGCTTACATGTGTACATGAACGAGTATGAGTATGAGTCACACTGCCGCCTAACGTACGTGAAAGCGCTTCGATTGGCAGCAGTACAATCACAGTCAGCCAGTTGAACATATCGTGTACGGTGGCGCCACCGAAAGCACGCCGGAATTCATTGCGATTGCCAGCCTGGGCCATGGCCACAATTGTGTTAGTTACGGATGTGCCAATGTTCGCTCCCATTATCAAGTAAATGGCCGGCTGCACATCTAGTACTAGAAACAAAAAAAATAGTTAGCCATAACTAAGTGAAGCAACGCAAGGCATAGCAATGTAATCAATTACCTATACCTTTCTCTATATTTGTTTGAAAACATGGAAAACCAATGAGCCATTATCGCATTTCAAAAAGTGAAGAAGAAGTAGAAGTTTTGAATACCAAATATCTGGCTTAGGTATGGCACTATTGAACTGCTATTTAAACTTCACAACGGTTGCCTCGTCACAACTTCCATGTGCACATGCAATTCCAAGCAAACAATAACACAGTGCTAACTTGGAATTTTAAGGGAAAGTCAATAACAGGTTTTCAAGGATAGATGCCAACCACGCGCATGTTACTAGCGCGGCTGGAACTCTATCGCCTGCATGGCTACGAGACACGGTTACCAACCATGTCTGGTCGAAATGCAAATTGACTTATTATGTAATGCCGATTAAACAATCGATATATCACGGAAGTATTCACACCAGCTTCTATATATTTATGTCTTAAACAGGCCTTCGTGTGAAAGAATCATTTTCTCAAATGTCCAAATCACAGTTTGGCATATTCAAGAACATGTATCCAATACGTCATAAAATTGAGCTTATTTTGTCTGAAAATCAATAAAATTGTTCAGCTTTCCATAAAATTTCTATGGCGAAAATCGAGCCAGTTCGATCAAACACTGCTGATCCAAAGCAATAAGACCGTTCGTTCCCAATAGACACATACTGAAAGCGCGCCATTATCTAATAATAAATTGTAAATCTTGTATTAGAAAGGGAAAAGTTCCACTACAGCAATACATTTGAATAATACCCGATATATTCCTATTCCCAGCGGGTCGATACAATTACAAAACTATAGGATCTATGAAAACAGGTACCTGGTGTAATATTAAACTGCATGGCGTAACTAATACATTGCCTAAATATAATAATCACACGCAATATACAGAACGACATGTGACGAGAAAGGTTTTAAGCTTACATCCTGACGCGACGACAGTGACGACGATAGACGTTGACGTTGACGAGCTCTGTACCAGTACCGTAATGAGTATACCGGCCATCACCCCTCCAACGGGGTTAGTGAGTACTTCGCTGTTACGAAAAGCTTGGCCTGCTGTTTTACCTGTAGAGGACAAAACGCATCCTGTTCTAAAGAATCCACAGGGCAGTTGATTTTAAAATTAACGTCATCTTGAAGATCATGTTAATTAAAAATAATGATAATAACGTAATTATAATTTTATTATTCGTTCGCCCGTTTTACCGGGATCCCTTTTATGAAACTGTTATTGACGAATTTTTGCACTGCTTAGAGAAAATACAAAAGATACAGTCGTTACTGTTTAATTCGTATCACCGCGACATGCATTTATAGGCCGCCTATATAACTAATAGCACTACATATCCGCTGGCAACGAGAATACTACAACGCTACATAAAACTACATATAACTAAATTTAACTGCCACTATAAGTTAACTACATAATATATATACACTGTTGGACGTGATACACAGCACTGCGCCGATCCTTTTCATACAGGTATGTACATACAGATAAAGCCAAGGTTGCTTGGTATGTTATTAGTTTCATTGTGTACATCGTCTTTCATGCGATTTAATCTATACAGACAAAACTAGCTAGAAGTTTAATTACCTCCAAGCAAACGGAACGCTGAGCTCATGAAATCCAAGGAACAGACGAATAGGTATAGCAGCATTAATAAAGCAATGGTCTTGCCGATCCAATCAACGAGCACCCGCTTCACCTTCCCACTGGACGTCAACTCTAAAAAGCGAAACGTAAAAATCAACATACGTACGTTAGACCATTTTGTTGAACTATGAAAATACGCGCTGTTCCGGTTTAGCTTTACACCAGCAATTCGTAAAATCAAGTCAATCATAGGCATGCAACGAATCGAACACACAATCATTTATATACAGCTACGCTTTTCATTTATTCATTTTCATTTGCCATTTGCTGTGTTTCCGTATCGTATTATACGATGTACCGCATTCTAACACTAATTGAAGGTCAGTTCCGAAAGTTATTTGTCTAAGTAGTATTGCTCTTGGCACATTATTAATTAAATTGAGCATCATTTAAACATTTAAGAAACGGTTAATTTACGGCATGAGAATTATAAATCTGTCGCAGTACGTGTTCGCGCACTGTACTACAGAGAGGGAGATTGGGTAGCATGCAAGTTGCAAGTTGCAAGTTGCGAGTAGTTGTTGTTAATTAATTGGGTTAAACCATGAATGAGAAAAACTTCTTATTACCAAATTTACGGTCAAGATACCGCAACGAAAGTAAAACCTACAGCAATATGGTTTATAAACTGACGAAAAAAAATGCCATTTGGGTCTTTGAAAGTCATGGATTAGGCCTACTGGATTAAAGGGGTGGACACACTAGGCGATTTTTCATGCGATCGAGCCGGCCGACCGAGCCGGCCGGCTCGATCGCATGAAAAATAACGTAGTGTGTCCAGTGAGTCGCGGTCGATTTTCAAGTCGGCCGGCCGAGTCGCCCGATTCAAACATGTTTGATAATTATTTGAGCCGGCCGGCTGCAATCGCCTAGTCTGCCCGGGTCTGCGATTGAGCCGGCCGATTGTACAATTCATCAGCCAATCAGCGTGCTGAAAATCCACAGAGTCGCCCGACTCAGTCGCGTAGTGTGTCCACAGAGTCGCCCGACTGAGCCGGCCGGCTCGATCGCCGGCGATTGAGCCGGCCGGCTCGATCGCATGAAAAATCGCGTAGTGTGTCCACAGCTTAAGACTCTTAATAACCAGGGCTGAACCTGTTGTTCAAAAGTGGATAATTCAGTCCTATTCACTGGATTAATTATGCCAAAAAAAACGTAAATAGTTAATAGGCACATGTATAAATTACGTTTATTTGAAGGAAGTAGAACCTGAAATCGACAATTCACACACATGCATACAGTGGGCCAGTTTTCACCACTTTGTCTGGTAACGCAAAAACAACCAATTAGCATGACAATTGACAAGAGCGTGACAATTTTGACAGCAAGTTTTTGTGTGTGGCGGTTGGGTGGAGTTACGTTTTTTCGGGCATAATTTTGAGTATATACCTACAATTGACAATAATTTTGAGCATAATAGTCCGTTTCTCGATTTTTCGAGCATAATGTAGCTAGCATAGCGACGGCACCGAGGCTTATTTGACTGACTCGCAACTTCCAACTCGCAGGTTACCAACGCTGACAGAAAGGGCCCATGTCATCAAGAAATAGAAGTCTAAAAGTTTGAGGTAAAACAAAATTCACTGTACACGGTACAAAAACAAGGCGTTTTCTCGCTGGAACCTCGCATCAACTTCTAGATGGTAGTGACGCCAGGAGAAAATACCTTATACGCTATTGTGCACATACACTAGAGTGCGCACGTTCGTACAGTGCACCGAATGACGTGCTAGAAACGTGAAAAGCCAGTTTATTCGAGAGTATGTGCAGCTTTAATGGGTCGTGGAGTATACTATAATAATTATGCTCAGAAGCGGATCTAGCTTTTAGGAGACGGGGGGAGGGGTGACATTTGAGTGAAGGCGTGCCAAAGGCAGGAGGTCCGGTTGGAATTTCCCTTCACATCTGGAAAATTCAGGCAGATATGTAGTCACAGGGTAAATACCCAGTTTCTATCAGCCTGCAGACTGACTTTTATTTATTTTGGCCCCATTTTACTAGTATCATAACATTAGTCAGTGGCTGAACGGGGGGGGGGGTTTGCAACCCCCAACCCCTTCCCCCTAGATCCGCCACTGATATTACACTACACAGTTGACTCGTAATGATGGTATTTATGAAACACGCGTCTGTCTGTGTAGCCTGTTCAAAACTTCACAACTGGAGTCTACTATGTGTTGTGCAGACATACTACGATACGATTAGACTACGATTGATATATGGTAGACTATATTCATAATGTAGTATTGTTGACTGTTTTCAGGCGAACATTAATTACGCTGATTACCACGGTGTGATTTACCTACCTGACCAAGGAGTAGACGTGTGTTTAAATTCAGGAAGAGCCCAAGGATCAATCGGCTCATTATCATCACGGTGTTCGGAAGCTACAGATAACTGTTTTGCTAACCCCTTAGCATCCAGCTCTAGGTGTCCTTCTTCTACATCTATGGCTCTGTCATTTTGATTGAAATCGTTGAGAAACGAGGGATTGTCAGCTCCTTCAGACAATGACCTCTTCCATGAAATTGGAGCAACGGGGTCTTTTCTTTCCATCGTGTTTCTTAAAGGTTAATGCTGAAAACATGGTAATTATGAAGTTAGACATATAACACAGTTTTAATACCGGCTTGTGCGACGTTATGTGCATACACGTGCTTAAAAGCGGCTGAGGTTTTATATCTGTTGTGACCTTGAAAACGTCATGGAAGGCTTTTTTCGAAATCAGGAAATCTGAGACATTGTTTTTTGTGAACTGCTTTGGATTTTGAAAACGTGCTTCATACATATCGTTAACGTAAAATTGTTAAATGGCAATTACTATCTATTTAGTTTACCATAACAAACGTTGTAAATGAATATACACAATATGCAGACGTTGTATATAATATGCACATATACGTGTATATATATATAGGCCTATATATATATATAAACATATAGGTTCACATTATTCATAATGTTGTGTATTGATAATTACTACAATACGTGGACTCATTGCAAAACGAATTCTCTATAATTCGGATTAAATGTTTAGTTATAGTTCATATATTGATTTCAAAATTAGGAATGATTCCATGTATTGCAATACGAACATTTTGCTGATATTTACATAATTATACCATGTAGAAAGTATCTAAAAATAACGAATTTCTTGCTATTATGGCTATATAATATTATCTAAGGCAAGCATATTGATCGTTGACGATAACTGGGAAATCAACAAGTACATGTTCTTAGTTGAAATTCAAATGTGGTATTATATATAATAATAACATTAGATTAATTAATAGACTATACATCCGTTGATTAATCAACTTACGCGGGTAGTGAAAGATCTTCTGTGTGTTCGACGAAGAACAGGGACTGCCAGATACAACACTTTAACCACGTACCTGCTTGCCTGCGATGGTGACAACGGAATTCGCGCGCGTAGGTATCTAGCTGGACGATCCGCCGAACGCTTTTGTGCTCCGCTCACCCGTGACCCGCACCAAGAAAAAACTTGTTTCGTGCCCAGAGACGCACGAGCACGTGTGTATTCTTATTGGTCATCAGCCCTAAACGCGCACGCGAAATATGTCACGTGCACCACGCATGTATGTGCGCACAGACAGCTCACAGGCAGACTCGTACGCGCGCGTATAACGCTCGTATAAACGATACTCGTGCTAGCAATACACGCGTGCGCATCCTGCCGTAAAACCAGAGAGACATGATACAAGATTGCGTGGCACAGCTTTGCTGTTGATCCTAAGCGCTGCGCGCGGATCGTTGCGGACATGACATATACCGTTGCGACACATGCATATGCATAGACTTTTGCATATGCCGTTACGGATACGCCAGCGGCTGTTCACGTGAAGCGCATACGTGAACCATCGACGCTACACGTGCCACATCGTTATGGGTGCGCATGAAATCACTGTTGATGTACATCGCGTTGCTATCACGTTGCATCACGTCCTAGTAAATTACGAATAATTAGCCTGTTTCCTCAGCGGTTATTTCTCATGCAGTCACTAACCTTGAATTTCAACGAGGTAATTAAGATACACATGGAATAAAACAAAGGATCTGTTAGTCTGGTCGTCGGCGAACGCAAGGTGATGATATGACTGAAACTACGCGACGATATTTTAAAATGAATGAAATTACGAACCGATGCAGTCTCAGAACTAATTTTCAAATTTTAAATACTGTATTGAATAAATGTGGAATACATAAAATCAATGGTAGACATGCTAATTAATCAAAATACTCCTTGTCCTATATGCATGCGTATACAATTTTTAAGTGTGACGTCACGGCACGTCACAGCAAAAATTTACAATTAATACAAATATTAAAACTAGTCGTCGTTCTAATCAAAGCATTGGTGGCAAAAACTACGGTAATCATTATAAATGCAATATATCCTATCAAGAATTAGTTTAGTCCTAACTTGTTGTTTAGCCTTTTTCTCGCCTCGTGGGTCTAGAGCAATAGAAAGGAGGACCCCATTTTGGAAAATATCAATGTCATATCGATGAGCACATGGCGCGTCATGGGCGGGTCGCCAGAAGACCAGATATCTCACGATCGCTCAAGCACAAATTCCTTTTAGGGAGGCGCATGTGATTCATCCTCATTTCATCCTCATTATCTGAACACAGATAATCGTGATTTAAGAAATATTTCCACTTATTTTGAAGGCATTAAAGATGTATTATCAGCGTAAAATATTATATTGTTATATTTTGATGTAAACATGGTTTCGTGAAATTTCAAACAAATGTAATTTTCCAGACCAATATTTCCAATGATCAACATGAAAACATGTCCTATATTTTGGCTTTTGTTATTCGTATGCATTACATTCATTGGAAAACTGATCTAAACCCCACTTGCATTTGAGGTGATTTAGATGAGTATATATTAGTCAGTATATGATAATTCGACATAATCAGTCTCATATATATCAATATATATGATATATAGATATATATCAAGATATATTATCTTGTCCTAGCAGCAATACTGCGAACAATGGGACGGGATTAATTATCTTTCTCCGGGATAAACTAGCTCCACGGTAGGATAAATTGACGCCTCTATTCCACGTTAATTACCCGGAGACCCAGTTATAAGCAAACCAAAAAGCAAGATCGAAGAAGAGCAGATCATTAAATGCAATCGAGGTTGAAAATTATGAGAGAGCAAAGAGGTAAGATAAGAATATGGGAAAGACAGTGGTAATTAAGGGGATAGAAAGATGAAAATGAAAAGGAGGATGAGGAGGATGAGAATGAGGTGGAGGAGGGGGGTGTGGGAGGAAGAAGAAGGAGAATGAGTGAATGTATGGATATGGAGACAGGAAGGAATTCAGCTTGCCATACAAAGTTTTAGAAGGTTTTCAAAATTGTGCAAGTATGTTGACTTTGAATTGACATTGTTACGGCCTTATAAGGTCGTTCAGATCAATACATCGTCGCTTAATTAACATGCATAAGTGACGAGAATGAGTAAAACAAAAAATGATATGATATTAAATATTTAAAAAATGTTGTTGACAGATGCTGTAAATCACAATTAATATTTTTATATCGAGATTAAAATCACTCATATATATCTAAGGATTAAAATAAACTAGGTTGTCACCTCTCGGACTCGAAAATAGTATATTTGACATATTGTGCAGATGTATGTTAGAGGCCCATTAGATCGGCTAGATGGACGTGGGATAGGTTTCACCTATTGTGCAGACTATAGCTCGGCTACAAATTGTACGCGACAAAGCACGTTATATGTCGATTGTATGAGATAGTATTATACCATGATCACTTTTCAAACTGTACGAAATCAGGTTTCCGAATAGCACTTTGCCGTTATGTCTCATGTTCATGTTTTTTTACAGACGCTCCCTGATATACTTGGCACTAATTCGACCGATTAATAAAATATATATCTCCGAAAATAACGATAAAAGTACAGGTACAACGCCAACATATAAGGTATCAAAATACATTGAAGTATATATTGCTTGGTAGTATAATTATAATATAATCTAGAATGTCTTGATCAAGAGTTCCGTACTTAATACTGATAGGGTGATATGTCTCCCTGGGTACTGCGGGACCGTACTCTGGGTACGGTCCGGTGTACCCTGGTATAACTGTCTGGTATACCGGACCGTACTCCGCCTACTCCCAACCGTACCCTGTTCCGAGAGGTAAAGCATAACCGAGTCAGTGGTATCAAGAGCGAAGACAGGGATTTTTTGCGAGATCGATTAAGGATGAATTATGAATTATGAAATAATTATGAAATAATTATGAAATAATGATGAATGATGAATTAAGGATTGAAGATGAGCGTCAGCAGGGTCAGGGGCAGCAGCAAGAAGGCCGTCGTGTTTGGGTGGCCAAGGAGACTTTGTTTTGCTCGGGCCTGCGGCAGTGTGGCGGATTTGGCTCGTGCAAGGAAGGAAGGCATACGCATACAACGCATCAAGAGTCCATAATCGAACAATTTTATATCCATAATTTTATATATTTTTATAATTTTTATATTCATAATTTTATATTATGGACTCTTAACGCATACTGTGATACAACTACGCATAAAGCTTCGCGGTAGGGAAAATGCACTATGTGTACTGGAAACAAGGTAGGCTAGTGCGCTAAAGCGGCACGCTTACTGCTAACAGTCTGTCGAGGGGTTCAAAATAGGGTACGGTTGGGAGTAGGCGGGGTACGCCCAATCAGCCGTACTTAACAGCCCGTTGAAGAAATCGCTCTTGCCATATGCTCCCAGTCTCATTTTGATCGGTTATTGATAAGTCAGATCCACGCGTCATATCTGAAACCATAAAAAACGCGGAAGTCACTACGCGTAAGGATAATGTAAATCGGTCGCGCGTTTCTTATACGTGTAATGGCTTTGGCCGCTTCTGTGCTCGTAGGTACGCAGGTCACAGAGTCTAGATAGAGACTCATTGTTTCACAATTCACACTTCGTCCTTGATTAATCAAGTAGCAGCAATTAGTTGACAAATGGCAGACCTGCTTCTATGAGAAACGGTGGGCGATTGCTAATCTATTATGGCTGCAATGTTATTGTAAACTATCAGCGGGAGGGGTAACTTGGGTTGTTGTTTAGATAATGGTTAAATGAGCAAGAGTGGCCTAGTGGTTGGACGACGCTCCCAGGTGTAAAGGGTGACAGTAACCAGTAGACAGTGAGTTGACAACATGGATTCAGGATAATATTAGCCTCATACACGTATGTACATCATTCAACAAACACCTCGAAACGCATCACGTGGTGGATGCGTACACAGCTCAACTGCTCTCACTTTTCTACACACGTGGAAGGTTGAGAGAGTGGAGCTAGAAGCAGGGTTGGTCGGCAATGACGCAAGATCAGAAGGTGCGGGGGTGAAGGAAGTAGGATGGGGAGGTCGATAGCTTAGGTTGATGAGGTAACAAGAGAAGGGCGGTATTAATAGAAGAAAGAATAGGATGAGGGAAAGTGTTGCCGATGGACTGGTCAGGGATATAGGCAAAAGTAATTATACGCTGTATTGTTTTTTTATCCTTTAGGGCGCGAAAAAATTAATAATCATTAATTTAATAATATTTTAATCATTTTCAATTTTGTGAAATGTTCGGTTGGGTGGTCGTATGCACCGCCAGTATAAACAGGTATTTTTGCCGCCAAATTGGCAGTAGTGTGTCGCACCGTAGCGCGTACTTGTTCCATAGCTTTGGTTCCATCCCCACAAAACGGAGATATATTGCGTACTACACAAAACACGATAGCAATTAATAAGTGACAACGAAGTTTAAACACATGAACTGCTATCTTTGCAATTCGCAGCCAAAACTAACGTAGTGCACATACAGTTTGCGTATCCGAGATCTTCGCCAATCTATAATGAAAGGCACTCGTAGATGGCGCCAAAATTATACGAGGGCCGTTTTTGATGTTGAATATATAGTATTAGTCAGTCGCCTTAGCTCATGATCGTTACAGAGGCTGACAAACAGCATCCACACTTGGCAAAGTTTGTAGCACCTAATGGCAGTACTAGAAATTATTAGAGGGGGTGCCCAATGTAAGATATTCCTTAACAGAAGTGACATTACAGATGATTAAATGTTCGAACCGCCAGCCCGCCTGTATGGCGCATGTATACAGCTGTTAATCCCCCAACCCCCGCGCGCATACGCTATTGCGAAATGTATATATGTAATATCCGAAATATGCTTGAATTCTTCGGCTTGTTACGACACGTAACGTTTATTTGATGCTTAAAAGGGGCACACGCAGTAGCATTCTGCAAATTGTTTACCAGATGTAACACTACTACGTCCCTGAAGAGGCCTTCCTTTGAATTTCTTTTGCGAAAAACCACTTTGCACCAGAGTGCACTGATTGCCATTATGCACGCAAAGGTAGATGCCTCCCCGGTTTT